TTGAATCATATGATTCTAAGGGAGTCACATAGATGATGGCAGTTTTTTATTTTACCAAAGTTTGTGGTCACAGGGCCCTTGTGCACCTCTGCCTATGGGTCTGTAATATACATGTAGATGAACATTGGATTGTATTTAAACTACTGAACATTCTAAATAAATAATAACACTAAATGTGAACCATAGAAAGCAACAAAAACATTCCCAAAGTGTTTCACTGAATATTTTTCATCTACTGTATAACTCACCAACACCACAATTTATTAAGTTTGGTTTACTATTTTTTAGAGTAAAGAGGTTTTGCCTGTCTTAATACAGTAAAAGTCCAAAAATCCGGATGCCAGAAATCCGGACCACCCGAGAATCCGGACTTTTCAAAAACGATTTTTTTTTTTTAGCGGGCATTTGTGTGCATGTGCGCATGCGTGAGCGCCACAGCTGCACAGCGACAACAAGCGACCACGTGGTCGCCACTTTAAAATGGGCAATCAAACTGTGACAACATACAGTATATACTCGTCTATAACCCCCCCTCGTTATCAGTCGACCCTGATTTTTGACCAAGAAATCGTTAGTTTATGATATTCCTCGTTTATAGTTCCACCCACGTTTTTGAGGGTAATGGAACAACAAAACCACTAAAAACGCTCTACGTCCTATAAACTGAGGCTCGCCGTGCATGAAACACAAGTGCTGAAGGCAAATTGTTTACCATTTATTATTACGACACTTTACACTGAAACCCGGGTAGTTTCAACAAAAATATTGTATATTTCCATTCAAGTATTTATTCAAGTCAATTAGGAGGGAATATTATTGAAATACAACAGTTTTTAAACTAAACCATTCGAAAAGCGATTACGGTAACATCTTTTGAACGAAAGAAAGCGAAAGTCATTGTTTTCGTCATGATTTTATCCCACTTTCCACTGTAATACGTATGTAATTTCAGGAAAAATATTACATTTCCGTGAATGTATTATATCAAGCACAGTATGAATAGAATATCATTGTAATATATCAGAATTTTAACCGAAAACTATTAAAAAAACGAGTAACATCTCAAGAACATCGGAAGCTTAGGTAAAGTCTTTTGTTTTCGTCATGTATTTTATCCTATTTTACATTGAAATACGTCACGTTTCCACAAAAGTACTATTTATCTCCGAGAATATATTCATTCAGGCGCAGTTTAGGTAAAATAGACGAGTGATGTAATAGGTTTTTAACTGAAAACGATTCGAAAAACACGTACCCTCTAGCCCTGTTCAAAGAGAGGACTGGGAGAAGCTGTTTGGTGCTGCAGACGATGAAAAGGAAAATGATTTTGATGGATTTTAATGAAAATATTCAGAAATATGGTATCGTAGTATTTATTCAAGTCAATTAGGATAGAATATTATTGTAATACAACAGTTTTTGAACTGAAAACCATTCGAAAAGCGATTACGGTAACATCTTTTGAACGAAAGAAAGCGAAAGTCATTGTTTTCATCACGATTTTATCCCACTTTCCACTGTAATACGTACGTTCAGCAAAAATATTACATTTCCGTGAATGCATTATATCAAGCACAGTATGAATAGAATACCATTGTAATATAACAATATTTTGAGTCCTACTCTTTCCATTTACAGAGTACTGTACAAGCCCATAATAATGGCTCCTAAAGTAGATAAACTTCGTTGTGTGAAGAGAAAGAAGAACACATTGAAATTGAGTGGCAAACTTGAAATAATTAAGAAACTAGATCGTGGTGTAAGCAATACTGTTCTAATGGAAACATACGACATTGGAAAGTCTACAATTTATGATATATAAAAGGCAAAGAATAAAATTTAGAATTCACAGCTTTTTCATTAAAACTGCTCGTTTTAATAAATGAAGCATGCTATATTTGCAAATGAATAAACTATCAAAATGTACCTGTTCATTTCTTCTTTATTCTTCATTAAATTTGAATTTTAAAAGTACTGCCTGAGAATCCGGAAAATCCGAAAATCCGGACCAACCCAATCCCCAAGCAGTCCGGATTTTTGGACTTCTACTGTATATATAATCAATACATAGGAATGTTGTCATTCAACAAATACTGTACAATATATGTATACTTTACATGCAAATATGATTCATCCTCAAAAATAATATTCATTTAGATATACAGCTCCTCCCCGACTTACGACCTACTTGACTTACGCCCACCCGCACTTACGACCTGCCTCAGTCGTACCAAAATTTGGTCAAATTACGTATTTTCGAGTCCCAAAATCAGTACAGACAAAATTTTCGTTTGTAATTCACTTTAAAATGGCTGGCAAGCTTAAAAGTGAGTGTTTTGTGGTGCTGAGAAGAAAAAGAGACACCCATTTTAGATTTTCTATGTATTATTTAAGCATTTCCGACTTACGACCTGGATTTGGGTCCCTAACCCCGCCGTAAGTCGGGGAGGAGCTGTAGTACTATACTTCCCATGTTGGTTATCATCTCCATTAGGATTTAAAATAACTTAGTCAATTTACACCTAAAACCATATGATTAAATACAATAAATAAATAAGTCATCTAAGAATGCTAACACTAATTTAATAAAAAAGTGAATTCAGTGATCTAAATGGTTTCATCGATACAACACTTTTATTTGATGATCACAGTGCCTTCAAACCCAAACAATTATATAATTGTATTTTACTAACCAATATATATCAAGTCCATGCTATACATATATTTTGATACAAAACATCATTTCTACAGTTTTAACATTTGGCAGAACACATACCAACAGTGGCAAATCAGTAAGAAGCAGAATGCTCCTTGCCTAAAATTCCAGTAAATGAAAGTACAATAAGACTTCACTTTATCAGACTAATTTGGGCCGAAACTTAGTTGTTGTATTAGATTTTCAGCAACTGTAATCTCTTGCAATGCAGTTATTGCTTAGGTACGATACAGGGGATGCTTTGATAAAAATAGTCTCGTTAAAATAAAAGCACAATGACATTCAAAGAAGTATTAAAGTAATAATCAAACAAATTATGTAATACGTATACAGTATTCTCTTCAGTTGTACGGGCCCAGTCCTGTGCTAACATAGGAGAGACATCTTGGTGTTAAAGGTCTAGTCATAATCCTGCTACTAAACTCCTGAACAGTTATTGGAGTAATTTTTTGAAGTAATAAAACCTAACTTTTACATTTTATTATAACTGTACTGTATTTATATATTTATGATTTATATCCCCATATACTGAACACAACAACAACAAAAAATTCACATGAACTTGGGAGCTACAGTACTGTACAGTATTACCATTTTAATCCCCGGAAGACTTAAAAGTATCAATACTGTATAAGTCCAGCTAAATTTTTTATGTGTGGATAATAATATAAATTTTTATATAAATATGATATTTTTAACAAGTACACCTGCAGTAATTGTTCAGATATGAGCTGTTGTAAAGTCTCTTCACCAAGGCCACCTCTTACTATGACTGAAGTGTGTGTGTGTGTGTGTGTGTATATATATATATATATATATATATATATATATATATATATATATATATATATATATATATATATATATATATATATAAATATATATAAATATATATATATACAGTATATAAATATAAATAAATAAATATATATATATATATATATATATATATATATATATATATATATATATATATATATATATATATATATATATATATATATATATATATATATTAGTACTGTATGCTGAATAGATATCATTTTAAGTTTATATTTCTACATTGGAAAGATGGGACTATAACATAAGGTTTCAAATGGTATAGAACAGGTATAAAGGTAAGAAACTTAGTAAAAAAAAAAAAAAGGATACTGGGTAATTGGTTCCAGCTCACCAAAAAGTACATACATTATACAAAGTAAAAAAAAATGCAGTAAAGTACTTTGAAGTGTGTATGTAGAAGGTTCTTGGTTGATGATGATGGGAATTAGAAGTGGGGGTGGAGGAGAAGGGAGAAGAGAAGGAAGTGGGGATGGAGGAGAAATCACCTTTCGGGGGGACCTTTGCTTGATGCCGTCATTTCACCAATAAAATTTTAAGTTCACTAGGTGTAATTCAAGATTATCTTATTTAAATCAACACTGCGCTGCACTATATATTATCAATATGTTACATAAATTTCAGAATGACCAATAATTTCAATGAAAAATGCAAAAAATATTCAAGACACCAACAAAATAGATGCTCACTCCACTGTCAACAAAACCCAACTGACGCCTTGTGGCCGAGTCAAGCTGCTGATGGGCGAACAAAGAACTAGTTCCCTGTACTGCATATATTATCAATATGTTAAATAAGTGTTAAAATGACTAATAATTTTAATATAAAAAATGCAAAAATATTAAATAGGACAACTTTCTTGATATTTATTCCACTGGAAACGAATGTAAACATAGAACAGATTACTGAATTGGCAGACTAGCCCATCAGCTGATGCTCACAATAAAACGTGATGTTCTTAAGGATTTCGTTAATTGAATTTTTGTTCGTTAACCGAATTGAAGATTCTTATGGAAGGTAATTCGTTAACCTAACCGTTTGTTAACCGAGGGACCACTGTAGTGATAAAACTCATTTCCAGTATTTCAAGAATCTGGTAATGTAAAGTCTTACTGTCCCATAAAAAATAAGATAAAAACACCATGCATACACGTCATTCAGTGGAGGACTCCCACTAATACAGCTTGGTAAATGTAAGTCCTTTTAAAAGAACTACAGTATTATGATGAAAATTTGCGTCGGTGAACAGTGTGAGAGCCTGTACCGATACTTTTAGAATTTAAGATTGAAATCTGATATCCGGCTCCTCCTGCCAAGGACTTGGTAGCATTACCAAACTGTGTCCTGTGATAAGGGATCCTCTCTTTTGGCTTAACTGATTTGTGTATCCACAATATGATGAATGCAGTATAGTGTGGGCTAATGTATAATGCAAAAATAATAATAAAATCTTATAAAATTTAATAAAAAACTTTATCTTTGTAATTCAGTGCATCTATTACCTTGACAAAATGGGATGGTTTTGCATCTGTAAAGTTTCTCCATAGTTTATATATGGTACTGTACTTTATTTACTGAAAGTCCTCAGGGAAAATAGTAACAGCATTCTGATAAAGACCATATTACAACATATGGCAGTGATCAATATCCACTGGATTATATAATCAATAACATAAATTAACATGGAACTACACTTGTTACCTAACAATAAGTCACAGTGTAAATAAAATATATTATGATCTCTGCGGTTGAGTAGCAGATTTTTTATACAATGACAAATACCGGTAATGTTAATGCAACATGAATATCACGGGTGATACATTTCTACACTTCCAATATAACTGGTATATGACTGAAACAACAGTAATATTCCAACATCTATTATGATACATTAACCTGAAGGGGCAAATGATCAAAGGAACACAAACTCTTCAGAATCTTGAGGGAGTAGTGGAGTGTCTCCTGGCATTGAGGCGGCCATTTTGTCCTCCGTACTAACTTGTCGTGTGCATGCATCAGTATCTTCACATCGACCGTCCAAGAATTCAAATATTGGATATTCAAAGCCTGGCTGCTTGGGTGTAATAAGCTGTAATGAAAAAATTTGGAGTTTAGTTTGTGCAGGTAAAAAATGTATTCACCCACATTCTCCAAATACACCTGTGTCTTCCCCTGGTATTTGGCACAACATTCCAGACCTTAATAGTATAGAGTTCCTAAAGTTGGTCTTTTTTATATAGTTGGGTCAGGCTGTGCAGATTAGCAGTGCCCAGCAGCCTGGTTGTGTCTGGACTAGAGGCCGGGCAAGTGATTTTTCATGTCTGTGTGCTTGGCACTTGCCTAGCAGACAAGCTAATAATATTTATAAAGGAAAATGCAATAAATACAATGCCTAGATGGGAAATTGTCAGGTTAGTGCATGACCCCACCTAACCACACATGTTTAACCAGGGAGATCCGTCTATGTGCTGCTTGTCAGCAGCGTACCAGGATAGTGACCTACGTCGGGTGCAGGTAATTTATCTTTACATTAAGTTGCCTACTAGGCAATTGGGGTCAAGTTGTCAACATTTAAAAAAAACTACCAAGCTGAAGGGCTGTAGGTGTGAGGTAACAGGAGATATGAACCCACATGACAAGTGTTTCTGCCACCGACACTAGATTATTTGTGCGCACGCGGGGGGAGGTTGTCACATCCTGTTGGTGTAAAGTGAGGTGACAGAAGTTATGAAATCAAATGACAAGGGTTACTGCTACTTACACTATTTAGACAAACACAAGTGACCTGTGAGTTGATATACACAATAAATTTGAATGTTTTAAGATGTGTATTTAACTTTTCCCATTAAAAAATCTGGGCAAGCAAATTTCCTCCAAAAATTTGTCAGGGAAAGTAAAAAAGATATCCAGGCAAGCAAATTTCAAAGTCACAGCCTTAGTTGGGTGATCTACACTGGGGTGTATTTCAAATTAACAGTTCATGTACAAGGTAACAATTATTCAAGCTACCCGGTGGAGGGTATCATCAGGATATAAGTAGAAGATTTAATCCAAAATTTCATTCTTAGCTGAACTCCTAGCAAGGTGGTTTAGATATCCTTCCTCCTCTTCCTGTGGGTTCCATAAAATTTAACCTGGATCCAAGATGGCTAACCTGTAAGAGTTGTTAGGTTATGTGTATACACACTAGTGTTATGTCACTACTTGACCATCTTCTTATGATGGGAACTTACTCTTCTAGTCCTCCCTTTCTAAGGATGACATTTGTGATGGATACAGCACACTGTATACTAAGCCTTTGGTATACATGGAGGTAGCATGGCCAGTATTGCTCTCGACTGCATTCACTAACCCAAGTTGTAAACTTAGGTACCCATTTACCGTGCCCCAAAATCAAACCATCAACCCCTGGAACAGGTGGGGAGTGTTGTATCCACTCGACCAACATGCTCCACATTTATGATGAAGAGGCACAAATAATATTTTGATTTTTCCAAGAACAACTTAATCAGAGGATAGTCACTCATGCATAGGATTACCTGTATCTATGACCTGGCAGGCTTATTTTGGGTATTGTATTTATCAAACTGCCTAGCTATAGGGTTGGCTATAATATGGGATTTGAGGCTCAATCCTTCAGTCAAATTTGGAGATAATAATGAACCAGCTATTTGTTTAACACTTATATGGTTTTGGCTTCATAACAGATAATGTATTTCTGAGTTATCATCGATATCAGTGAAGGCCTCTTAAATATCCTTGGATTTTCACATTTAACCCAACATTTGCATTGAAGTGACTCGCATTAAATTCAAGCTTACGTAAGATCTGTAGATCAACACCATGTGGGAGAACCTGTGGTATTCAAGGGCGGATCCAGGTGGTTCCTGGGGGTCTGGACCTCCCCTTTTCACCGGAAAATTCCAATACAGTGGGGTATGCTATAATGAATCTAATTGGTTCTAGAACCTTGTTCGTTATAGCATTCGTTTGTTATAGGATTAATCTGTTCCAGGCCCCCAAATACAACCACTTAACACTGAAAAATATAATATAAAATTGTAAAAATTGTAAAAAAGTGCATAAATATGCATCTAAACCCCTGAAATAAAGAATATTATTAATATTTGTAATAATAAAACAATAAATTAGAAAAAAAAAAAAAAATTAAATTATGTTCGTTGAAGGAGTTTCGTTCGTTATAGCATTCTCAATTTTATAGGTAAAACCGTTCGTTATAGGAATATTCGTAGTAGGATCCGTTCGTTATAGCATACCCCACTGTACTTTTTCTTTCATGCAGTATTGTACTCAGGCATTTTTGTATAGTAAAAAGTATTTACTATTGGCTTCAGAATATCTCCTAATATCAAGAGCACATGGCTTTAAAATGGCCTCAAAATGCCCATGATATTGGTCAGATTTCAAACAAATTTTGGGTGGGTTTGCTGCGCTTGCCGTGTTCCCTCACCCACAACTTCTTGGATCCCCCCTTTTGATATTCCAGGATCCGCCCCTGATACCACACTTGCTTTCTTAACACATCCTGCAAGAATACTGATGTTATTGTGCAAATACCTTCATATTTGCCACATCTATCTTAAGGGGAACATACGGCTGAAACAAGAAATTAATTAAATTGATCAATCAATATAAATCTCCTGTCAGCAATTAAAGACACCAGATACATTGTTACTATACCCATGAATCGGTTCTGCCTAATCCCTGATATCTGATTTTCCCCTTATATTCTTATCAATTTTCAAAATCATACTTCTCTACAACTTCTCACTACATTATGTTGAAATTCATGTGGAATATAAGTAATTTACTCTTCTTGAACATAACATTTCTGATTATCGCTTTCATATTGGGTGCATGAATTTTTTTCCTAACTTACCATTTTTTCTTCCAAATATTTAAAAGATAAATCAGCAAATAATAAACCAAGTCAAATATAAAGAAAATCTATATGTTATACCATGCACAATATGTTATTCTACCACTTTGTTTTTGTTTTATTAGAATCGGCCCATAAGTGGCCGAGCCTTAGGGATTTGAAGGTTAGAAAAACTCGTTCTCGGATACGGGCCGATAAAGATGGCGTGAGAGCTACTCAAGATCGTACCTCACTCTCGCATGTTTGATGGGTCACTGACTCTCGTGACGACGGTCTCCTGTGGTTAGCGAGCTGAGAAAGGCGTCAGATACTGATTTTTACCAAGTGATTGGTATTAGTGGTATTACTTTGCACCAAAATATTATACATAAATATTTTTCTACAGCTTTTCATCTCTAACCAGAAGGGCCCTCTAAATGAAGGGGGAGTAGAACAATCATGCACAGCTACATAAATATTACGAATTATGCAATAAAAATACGTCAGCATATAGCCATAGGCAACAGCTTTCCTCAGGAATTTTTTTGAATACGTATATTCGCAATTTTCCGATTTTCATTGTATTTTCAGCCAGATGCTCCCCTTAAGCAACTCCATTTAGCAAAGTATTTGTCACCAGATACAGTACATCTTTAATTTGTTCAGTATAGTCAGGGACACCATGGGAAGGTAAATCAGTTGTAATAAATCTTACTTATATAGATAGGTACATTATACAATACAATATACAGTAACTACATACCTGGTGCATCTTTATAGATAATAATTTAGATTTTTTAGTTATAGTCTTAGAATTTTACTTATGTTAACGGTACTTTAAAGATTACCTCTGGGAGTTCCTCCATGAGCCGTAGAAAATCTGTTCTAGAGTGGCAATAGAAGCCCAAAGTAGCTGAAGGGTCCATGCGAGAAAGTGCCATCTTGCGAGGGGAAGAACAGTGATAAGAGGATAGAGAAAAATGTGGCTGAGTTACCATCACAGCATCTTGACACAGGTGTGGGTCCAAATGGATCAGCGAATCCTCTGAAATTATCAAGTGATTTAATTCATTGAGACACTAAAATACAACAGGAACATCACCTGTCCCTATGCTTCCATCAAGCTGAATGGAATTTCACTGAAAATTGGTCAAATTAATTTACAATTTTTCACATTAATGGACATACTATATGAGTACAAAAAAAAATAGTGAAATTTGTGCTGCATACATTAAAAATATGAGTATTATCTGTGTTGCGTGATGTAGCAAAGGGATTCAAAGCACAGTATGTGGCATACCGATTAGAAATAAGAAAATTTATACACTGTGACATACCAATTAGAAATAAGAAAATTTATACACTAAGTCCTCGTTTAACATTGCCCCCAAAAACGCTGTTTCGTTATAACGTCGCTACTCTTTAGATACCCATGATTCCGACAACGTGCCGACCGATTCATTATAATGTCGTCACGGACTGCTTTGTATGGCGCATCACCCTCTCTCATTTTGGCGCGCTACGCTCGCTCACGGAGCGTCACAGCATCCCCAATCTTTGTTAGGCTTCCACAGCGTACGTGCATGCTTAAGTGTTTTTGCTCTAAATACTGTAACCATTCAAAATGGCTTCCACGTGCCCATCAAGTGCTAGTGATGCTAGTGTTGTGAAGAAGCAATGCAAGACCATTAGCCTTGCTACAAAAATGGAGGTTTTAAACCATTTTGAGAAAGGTGAATGTGCTGTGGACATTGGTGTTGCACTAGGCCCTTCCCCCACAACAGTGCGTACTATCTGAACCAGCACAGATTAAGGCTAGTGCTGGAAGTGGTACTTCTATGAGTATAACAAAGACAAGTCGTGCCCGAAGTTCCGTGATTTGAAAAGATGGAGAAGATGCTGGTTATGTGGATAGAGGATCAGAATCAACGCAATGCCCTTGTGAGCCTTATGGTGTTCCAGCATAAAGCAAAATCCTTGTTTGACAACTTAAAGGCCACAGAGGGATTGAAGGATGAGAACTTTACGGCCAGCCGAGGATGGTTTCAATGTTTTAGGCATCGTTATAACTTCCACAATATTAAGATGACTGGTGAAAGTAGCTCAAAGATTGTACGCAACATGGAGGAAACTTTTCGTTGTTATAATGATATCTACAAGGACAAATAGAAGAGGAGCACAAAGCAGTCAACGCTGGATTCATTTTTTCGTCGTCGGGAGGCAGAAACCGCATTTTCACAACAGCCTGCAAGTGAGGAGGAGTGAACTGCAGCCGAAGGGAAACCCCAGTCAGAGCCACCCTCCAGGTCTCAGTGACTCGCCACCCTCCTCCTCTCCACTAGCCACCACACATGTGCTCCACCTCTGCCCATCAGTGAGTACAATACAAAATGATTTAGTTTATTAATCTTTTTGGATGTATAATAAATACCATTTCTATAAAAATTCCATTGAATTTATGTACAAGTAATGCATTTTATGGGGGGAAAGGGAGGCTGGGGAACGTAACTAGAGTATTATCTATTTCTTATGGGAAAAATTTATTCCTTTTACGTTGTTTACGTTAAAGTTGTGTTTTTCAAGAACATAACCACGACGTTAAGCGAGGACTTACTGTATTATAGAATTAAAGATACAGTTTTTAAGTTAATATCAGTACAATATTTAATAAATTCAATGCACTTATTAGCTAGATAATAAAAAAAAAAATTATTCAGCTTAATCAAGTACTAATAAATAAGGATAAAAAAAAAAGTGTACAGGTACTGTATTTCATATATATTTTAAGTTTATAGCTTGGAAGTAGCCTTACCTTGGAATCCCACAAAGTAGAGTGAATGTTTTGGTCTGCCTCCAATAATTCCAACACAGAGCTCATGAGTGAAGAGGGAATATAAACATGGAGCATATATAGGATTTAATGCTTCACCTCCTAGTCTAACAGGCACCATGATCAACACAGATCTCCAGTTGTCACACTTTGCACATTGCTTGAATGGTTCACTACTATCTAGTCTAACCCTTTTCTCGTGACTTAATTTCTCATTTAATTTTGTACCACTGCTAACCGTTAGCGATATATCAGCTAAGGGCAACTGGTAATTCTCTGTGTGTTGTGTATCCCTCGTGCTGCTTCCATTCTTAAATATTTTATTGTTATGTCCAATATTTCTTTCCTTTGAATTTTCAGCTCTCATAGTATGACAGTATCTGTCCTCACTTTCTTTGTTTCCATTGCTTTGTCCATATACTTTGGGATCCTTTTTGTATACCTGGGAACACTCAAGGTCCACAGTTAGAGGTACCGACGAATCTTCTTGTTGCAAGTTAGGTGTCCTTTTGTTACTATTTTTTTGCAAGTTAATGAGATCCCCTTTGTTACACAAACATGAAGTGAAGCACAGGTCTAGCACATCTTGAATATATACTGTAACAAAATAGGAAAAAATAGTTACTGGAAACCTCACAAACCAAGATTATTGCAAAATTAAACCTACGATGTGTAAAACTATGATGATTATCCAAAAACATAAATTTCAGACTCCTTTTACTGCCTTTTGTAAGTACTGTACTGTAAAGCAATTTTTTTAAGAGATGAGAAAATATGTTTCTAAAAAGCATTATAAAATGACACCCAAGTTTACTCGCAATAAGTTTAATCTTGAGTTTATAACTGATTTATATGAAAGTTAAAAAACTGACAAAACTTCAACCTATGCTTAACATTTTTGCCTTTATTCCAACTGGGACCAACCAGAACTGTAAAAGGTGATAATTTTTACACAAAATAACTGGACACAGTGTTCTTATCCTTGTGTCATTTTTCTTGTAAAGATTTACATGATCGTACAATTTAATGGCAGCTTTCATAAGGGTGTGCATACCGGTGACAATTACTAAAACAGCAAACTCCTGAGGATTTTATTTACAAAATATTTATTAGAGTTTTTATTGTAACTACAAACCACATTCAGTAATACCAGATTAGAGATAATTTACATTGTAAGCTTATGAGACAGACACAACTGATCATTATTCCAAAGGCATTAGAGGAGTACTGCACAGCATTTGTGCTAATCATAATATAAATGTTTCCCTAATGAGTTACATGAAGGGCACCTCATGACAAATTTGATTAGCATTAAATTTTCCAAAGTTAGTTAACACACTTAAATTTTAAGTGACTAAATGCTAAAATATGTAAACAATTGGTTTAAATTAAATACTGTCTACAAGACATGTAACTCACCGGCACAATCCTGGGCAACATAAACACAAATTCTTTGTAAATCTGGGATATACCTGGAACCCATTTCAACAGCATCTCTGGAAATTAAAAAACAACCTGAGCTTTTTAGGTAATTCTGAAAGTTACCATATTTTATCTTATCTTAATATAAATTAAATCAATCAGCACACAAATCCATAAACCCCATTCAGTTCACATTCTATTTCACCTTTTTCTATATAACTTCAGCTCCTCGTTATTTTTTTCTCTTATTTAATTCTTGTATACTTAACATTCCTTTCTGTAACCTCCCTCTTGAATGTGTACACAACCTCACTGCTAGATCCCTCACTGTTATTACCTTTTCCCTCCACTTCATCAATACCCTGATTTCTCATTCAGCCTATTTTTTTATATATATTTTTTTAACCTTTACAAAGGGTAGTACAGTAAAGCCTCGAATAACGACGGTAATGTGTCCTCCAATATTGCAGTGTAAGGTGAATCATCGTATCCCGAATCATTATTTACTATTAAAATAAAGCAATAATAATGAGATGCGTTCCCAAGTGTGACCTTTTCATATCTTTTGTGTGGCTTTTTATTTCTTTTCCCCCCAAAACAATAAAATTAATGAAAATTGCAAACTATATTCTTTAAATAATGTTTCTCAATGCACCTTATACAAGTAAAATATAAATGAATAATAATAATAAGAGGAGATGGGATGCCATTGTTTTCATTTGTGTTTACAGCCGGGAGTCCAGGACGATAGTTCTACATGGGAAAATTAAGAAAATAAGACCTTGGTTGTAGCTGCAGTAAAATTAAAGTAAAAAAATGAATATATATGTTTTAAGTAATGTTATTTAATGTTAATAAATGGAATAATAGAAGTAGCTAACCACTAATGGCAAAGAAAAAAAAAGAGATGGATTGGGAACGCCAACATACACGTGTGCATTTAAGGAAACCGCATAATTTATCTTTTTAAGAACATGTACAAAAGATTCATTATTGTTTATGACCGAATATGTATTTGATTGAATTAATGTTTATATATATATGAAATGAACAATGCAATTCATTAATAATACGTAGAATATTAAAACACACACGAGGAGACAAGACGGCATTGTTTTCATCAGTGACGATGGTTCTACATAAGAAACCGAAGAAAATAAAACCATGGATGTAGTGAAGTTAATTTTAAAAAATTGAATACCTTTATGTATGTTTTAAGTGATGTTATTTAATGTTAATAAATGGAACACTAGTAGCTAACCACTAATGGTAAAGAAATAAAGCGAGACGATTGGTAACGCCAACGTATGAACAGTAAGTGCGTACATGTGAAAACATATCGCCATTTCTCTACATATGAATATGAAAGCGACACTTATTTACTGTTCATATATGTTTTAAATAATATTTACGAATGTAAAAGAAAAATTTTACTCACCAATGGTGATAAAGTCTAAAACATAAGGACAGCCAATGAATATTGTGCGAGTTTTTACTCAGATGACGGAGTCATCAGGTTCAAATCTGGCTGAAGCTGTAGCTTTCCATAAAGCTGTTGCTGAAACTGTTACTGAACCTGAAGTTGAAGCTGCTTATGATGCTGAATTTGATGGTGTAGCTGAAGTTGATGGTTTAGGCCTTTGAATAGTAAAGCTGTCAAAAGAACCTTGCACAGCTGCTTTCTTTTCTCATTATACATTTTTATGTAGAGGTCATTTGTGTTTAATTAAAATTTAATGCTTTGTTCTGTTAATGTATCCACTTCAGAAAATATGTTCATTGCTTGCTCCATATAATATCCACAGACCTCTCACCTTTTTCATATCGTTTTAACACATCTAATTTCTCGGCTAAGCTTATACACTGTCTATTAGCTTTTGAAACAACACTACCATCACTTGCTCTCTTGCTCATGTTGAATAAGGATGTAAAAATGCTGTAAGAAACCTGAGAAAGTTTTTCTCCTGTTCCAGATGCGTGAAAACAAAAGGCCTGCCAAGCTTCGACTGTTGTTTACCACTCATTAGCCAGGCAGCTTCTTTGCGCAAGGCGCTCTTCATTTTTTTTACAGTAATTTTTTTTATAATACATATCGGGATTTAGTTATTATTTATATGAAAATGTAATTTTATTTAATTTTTTATTATACTTTGGTCGTTAATATGAATGAAATAAGGATGTAAATTGAATTGGGTCCTAAATTTACTAGGGTATTAAATATGAAAAGTTGTTGGTCGTTATGTTGTAATCGGAGGCTTTACTGTACTGGTCAAAGATGAAAGTGCACTATACATTTCTTTGACCTCAATTTTGTCACCCCAAAATTCTCCCACCACCCACAGCTCATTGCCAATCAGTGTTGTCAAGATTCAAGGTCACATGGTAGCTCACTATGGGAATGGACAGTTATTTGCGAAGAGTTGAACATAAAATAATTATAGTGATTTAAGTGAGGAACTTTATTGAATTCTCCTTACATAACCCATCAACAACTTCATCAGTTCACTACTATGACACCAATTAACAAGCCATGCTTAGCTAGCACAAATTTTGCCTCTTGATGCCCCTAACCTCTCACTGGTGAGGTATCCCCTATATACACAGCCAGTTAAAAAGAGGTTTTACTGTAGTATATCATCACTTAATTGTACCAAGAACTGACTTACTTAAATATGTATGCTGCAGATGCTGGTCCATACCAATCACCAGCTTTCTTTCCCAACTTTTCGCCAAAGTGAACCAAGTTATGAAGTGATAACGGACAACGTGATGAAGGGGAATCACCCAACCAGCGCACAATGCTACGATGAACCAATTCGTCTGGTCCCTCTGCTGCATTCTTGTTGTATCTCCAGTCTGTAGTAAAAAGTAAATACTTTAACAAAAGTACTGTATCTACACTGTCATGTAATATGCCTACATTATAGACTTAAGAGTATACATAGAACTTATCATCATAATTTGGCAACACCAGTGCTCTGGGATGGATGAGAAACAAATTGAAAACAAATACAGTTGTACCCCACTTAACGCGGTCAATTGAACCCAGAGGGTCCCGTGTTAAGTGAAATCCGCGTTAAGTGAACAACAGAACATATGGGATTAATTCCAATAGAAACCAGCCCGACCCCCAAACTCCACTTTTTGACGACACATAACTATGTTGTAGTAAAAATTTTATCTTAACTTTATGATGGTATGAAAAAACAAGTAATATAGAAGAGGTTGGGTTAGGAAAAATAAAGGTTAACATAGGAAAAATGAAGGTTACGTTAGAGAAACTAAAAGTTAGGTGGAACACTTACGGTAGTAGAAGAGATGGGTCGGCATACGGGGATGGAGGCTGGTTCCGAGGCAGAGGGCAGATTACTGGCCCTCAGGTGAATCACCATTACTAGGTGAATCACCATCACTGTCACTTACAGTTGTCAGGGCTTCCCTGACAAATCCCTCAAAGTCAACTTCACTGTCACTATCACTGGCATGGGCTGGCTGTGGTGGGTTGCGGGCGAAGAACTCGGTTATGCTTTTTTGACGGCTGGTGTTTATGTTGTCATGATACACCATGATGTACGGCTCCATAGCCTGCACCAGCCGGGTATGGAAGACTTCATAGCGGTCATCGTCATTGTCGCGGGAAAGGACGGACTTAATTTTCTCTGCAAACTCTATGGCACACTTAATATCACTATGACTTAAACTAGGTTCTTCGGAGAATGACGCACCTTCTTCCTCCTCTTCACTGGCGTGTTCTTCTTCCAACATCTCGTCGGCAGTCACTTCAGGATCTCTGATCACCTCCAGGATGTCTTCGTTGGTGGTCTCGGAGAAGCCTTCAGCTGTAATATTGAGTGCAGCTTCTCTGGCAAGGTCCACTGCTACTGCAACAGTCTGACCCTCACCAGTCACAGGTTCACTCCTCCTCTCACCTGGTATGCCATGCAAAACATGTCTCCATGCGTGACGAATCGTAGCAATAGTCAGCAGATCCCATGCCTCCACCAAGAAGTCTACAGCTTGTTTAACGTTAAACTTCTTCCAAAATTGTTTGACGAGAAGTTCTTGAGTCACCACCTCTTGTTCCTTGTCCTCGTCGCTTTTGCTCTCGCTGTCGGTGTCACCCAGCTTACGCAACTCATCCTTGGTGTTGGTAGAGTCGTTCAGGAGCTTGAACTTCTTTGCAGAGTACGCAGCTTTCACATTGCAGATCAACTCCTGGTCCATGGGCTGGATTAATGACGTAGTGTTGGGAGGAAGGAAGACCACTTTTACGTTGGGGTGACGATCCATAAGTAGGGGCGAGTGTCCAGGTGCGTTGTCAAGGAGCAACAAAATATTGAATGAAACATTCTGTTGCTCGCAGAATTTCTTCACGTCGGGAACAAAACAGTTGTCAAACCAGAAGAGGGACAGAGAAGAGGACATCCACGCCTTACGTGCGGTTAGCCAGTGGACATTAAGCTTGTTCATGTCCATATTCTTGTAGGCGTGCGGCTTGCGGGCTGTGTGAATCACCGATAACTTTGGTTTACAGGTACCGGAGGCATTGGTGGTAAACAGGACGGTGATGCGTTCCTTCTGCAACTTCCGACCCCTTACCTTGCTGGCAGACTGGACAACGAAGGTCTTGGAAGGTAACTTTTTCCAGAAAAGACCAGATTCGTCCATGTTAAACACCTGGTCGTCAGTGTACTGTCCTTCCTCCATAATCTCACGTAAGAATGGAGGAAAATCTCTAGCCGCCACACGGTCAGCACTCGCTTCCTCACCACCAATGTTGATGTTGGTGATCTTGTTCCTCTTCTTAAACCTATGCAGCCAACCAGAGGAAGCATTGAAGGGTTTGGGCTCTGCAATTCCCAGCTTATGTGACACTGCTGCGTATAGCTCACGTGCGTACTCCTGCACTGAGAGCGTGTCCACCGCCATGTTGCGTCGCGCCTGACGAACCAAATAACTCACCAGCAAATTTTCCACTTTTGCCAGCACCCTGTTCTGGCAATACCTGATAGATGAAGCACCTGCAGACTTTGTGATTTTCATGTGCTCTTTGATCTTGGCTGCATCCTTCTTGATCGTGCGAATCGTAGATTCGTTGACGCCATGCTGGCGCTCGAGATCAACTTGCCGTGTTCCTTTCTCAAATCTTGAACAATTTGGTACTTCACCTCGTAGTTTAAGGAACGTCGTGTCTTCTTTGGCTTAGTGCCGCTGGGTCCAGGTAAGGAAAGGTCTCTCTCTGGTGGTGGTGGTGGTCCGGCGGAAGCCATTTTACGGAACAATGGATGCGCGTTTACACGGTGTGGCCTTGAGGGATGAAACTGCCGCGGCTAGGTCAAGCATCGTCTCTCCCTCCCTCCCTCCCCGGGGTGGTCACGTCATAATACTTTAAGCCAATTACAGCTAGCAGCAGAGGGGGGTAGGGATGCATGGCCAATCACAGTCCGATACGTCATATGACGTCAGTGATAACGCAACAAAGACACACACTGCGCAACCTTACCGCGCCGCTTGCCCAAGCGGAGGGAGGAGGAGGGAGAGGCAGGCAGGCAGGCGGGCGGGTGGCGCGTGGGGCAAATCTAAAAATAGCGTCTTGAGCCGGACACTCACCGCGTATATGATGAAAAAATCCGTGTTAAGTGAAAGTTCAGCTCTGGCGAGGCACCGCGTATATGATAAAACGCGCCAAGTGAAACCGCGTTAGGCGGGGTAATACTGTAAATAAATATTGAAATGAAAACTCTTGTACTGAATATTATATGTTGATTGTGAGGAAGAAGTGTGCAAATATGCTCTTATACAGTATATGCATATGTCTAAAAAATAGAGAGTCAGACTAGGGAATGGGACCAATTAAACCATACTGTCAGTGTCCGCTAAACATACGTGAAGCATTCCTAAAATCCTGTACAGTAACTGAATACAGTACATATTAATCAGACAATAATTTTGCACAGAAACCCACATTATAAATTGAGATATGCTTCAGAACATTCTGCTCAAAAGTTTTATTTATCCTAAAGGAGCAACTAAACTTAAAACAGAATTAAAAGTTTCTGACCTTAAATTATTGTATCCACTTGCATTGGACTTGAAGAGTAGTTAAAAATTAGAAGAAAAATACTGTACAGTACTGTATGGAGAGAACAGGGGAAAATGGAATTCAATGGTAGTTCCCTTGTTACTATGATGTGCTATCTTTTTTAATTAATATTCAGTTGGTGATATTTTGTAGATTAATCCATTTGTCCAAAGCTTAGCAAACTGATTAATTGGTGCAAATACTATTTTTTTATTGTTTTGAGATCATTTTAAATTAGCAATTATTGTACCATTTTACAGTGGTCACTTAGTAATATCTTATAAGATTTATTGTGGTGTTGGTACTTTAATCAGTCTAGATGCTCTCTATCGCTACAGGGCAGTTCACTAATACCAAGAAGTCACTTTAAACTTGTGTTTGCATAAATGCAATAAGTTTTATTTTTGAAGTACTGTACTGTATCTACCTACTTGTCATAATCGAAACATTTCTTTGATGGTAACTTAAGAAAATATATCAGAAGACTTACAACTTATTTACTGTATATTTTAGAAGAATGTATGGACAACAGTACTGTATATCCACATGGAAATCCTCATGGACATTAATTTTGTGTGTCTTACACTACAAAATTATGTTCCGTTAAAACCATTTCAGAAGAGATAGAAGACACTTTAACATCTAACTTATACCTTTTGTGAGAAAATGTCGAATGAGAGCATGGCCGAGCATCATCTGGCCTGTCCTTAGCATACAGCCCCAGCCACAGTCAGTTGTGAGGACAGAGTCATGTAATGTGGGGAACTGTCGCCGATAAGTGCACCACACCAAGCTGTTGAAGTGCCGCTTAAATGCTTCCATGCCGTGCCTCTCAACCTCTGAATCAAGATTAACAGATAATGGGATGCAGTACAACCTTAACATAATTACAACTGTGATGACTACATCAATTTCACAAGTTTCCTTATTACACTGTTATTATTGAGTATATTTCTAGCGTAACTCTATATCCTCAGCCTGTCATCAAAGAATCTTACCTTCCATAGCATTCTCTTCATCTACCCCTAAACTCTTATGATACACATAGCCTAAGAGGTAAACTGGTGAGTCTTTTGAGAAATTAGTCTTCAGGTTCACTGTCCAACCTGTAAAGAAAAGTTTAATCAAACTTTGAATGTCTAATTATTGTATGCATACAGTAATTTTATTCACCATAATAAAACACAGTACCAAGACCTCTTGTACCAATTTACTGATGCTCATTAGACACTATACTGTACATGTACTGTGACTAAAATTGCAGAAAGGCAAATAAATTGGTGAAGTTATAGACTAAAAATTGGGAATAACATCATAATCAGGTTCAATCATGGACAATTATTACAATTATTACGATGATGATCAACATTTTACAGCCATTTTCCACATTTGTGTGGGTCAGCTGCATTTACTTGATGGCAGTTGTTGGGTAAAACCAGAAAGGGATGTCCCACTCCCCTGGCTCTCCATTGCAAACCAGCCCAGAAAGTGCAGCAAATACCTGGGGATGGGCACAGCTCTGGTGACCCGGTTGCCATTAGGCACGTTGAAGCAAAGTTTTATTGCTAGATGACCTACCTACCTAGTGCCAAAATGCAGGTGAAGCAGGTTTGCAATTCCCTGAGGTAATCAGGTAGTTGCAATCCTGCATGAAAAACGAAGGGCAAAGTTGGGTGGGTAAATTCTCATTCTAACTAATCAATTGGCGAGTGATTATCAAAGTAAGTCCGGCACTGATACTGTATAAGAAAAATCATAATAAATTGTAATTAATAAATAAATATAGAAAAAATTATGAATACTGTATGTCTAATACAAAAAACAATACTGTATAGAGTCCTGAGAATGACCTTTGAAGTGTCATATCCACAAATATTCAACTTTTGTTGTGTTATGAGGTGAATATAACAATTTCCATATTCATTAGCTTTCAGCCATCAGGAAATATTTACTGTATAATATAAACTGTAGCAACTGTATAATAGTGTACTGTATATAGAATTAGAACATGATTAAAATATTGCAATACTTTTTAATTGCAGCCAGTTAAAGTTCTATATTTATATAATTCCAATATCCTTTAAATTAGTTTTACATGGTACAGTATATTTCTGCTTTGCAGATATTCAACACATCTACTGGTCGGTATATACGGGCTCTCAAGTATAAAATACCTGCTATTTTTATTTGAAAATTCAGTAATTGCTGTACAGGTACTGTACTTTATTTTAAAAACTAAAAAGACTATGAACATTATTGCTCAAAACCTTTTATTCAAAATGAACCGATTCACACATGGTGTAATACAACTTACCATATTTAACATTATTCCATAAGCCCATCATCTTCGTTTTGACTGAGGTTTCAGTCTCAGGAGTTGAACCAGCACTCTTTGAATGCTGTTTTTCAGGCCCTGAACTGAAATAAGATTTAAGAAATGAAGCAGACATGGCCAAAGTGTGCGATGGTGGCAAACTTCGTAATTTGCTGCTGGTGCTGTTCTTATTTCCATCACTGGGCATACTGGTTTGACCTCTGCCTGCAATTAGTTCCACACTCAGAGGTAAATAACTGTTGGCTTGATTTGTCCGTGTCTTCATAATTGGTGTTAAGGATGGGTTTTCACTGCTTGCCAAAGCCCCATCTTCAAGTTGGGGCACTGGGAGAGGTTCCGTGAAGTTCATCTGGAAGTTTTTGGAAGTCATTTTATGTTCAGGTGGCAGTTCTGGAACTGACACACTCATACCACCTGCAGTTCGTATAAAATATTTGCTACGCTCATGACTGGGACTCTGAGCCTTTGCGAGTTTAACTCTTGTTACTTTTTTACTCTGAACTGATGGTTGTCTTGATTCTTTACCCAAATTCCTGGAACTTGGTTCATCAAAATGGTTATGTACATATACAGAATCTGATGGCCATCTTGGAGCCTCGGTACATTCTTGGGCCATGGGGATGGGTAGCACTGTCTGGTTATTTATATCATGATTATTGCTGGATGATCTTTTGTGTTGATGCTGAGAACTTGCATGCCTACTGGCAACAGATTGCATGCTGGGAATCATTCTTCATTTGGGGTGTCACCCAGCTGGTCCAAGGGAGAATAAAGGTAAATCAGTATACTAATTTAACCTTCATATATTTCCATCATCAGGGTGACCCTAAAAAAAATAAAGTTGTATCAGTATACAGCAGCTTCATCGATTGGTCTATTTACACCACCATGTAACTCCCAGGGAAACACGTATATTGCCATTTACAAAACCAATCAGTGTGTCCATAAACATACAGTACTGTAGTTATCACCTTTTTATCCTATAATCTTTACTCCTCTCCTGCTTTTTTATATATTGGGTAGATCAAGAAGTACAACAAAGACTTGGGAGTGGTGTAAGACAAGAGTAGAAAGTACAGTTACAAGAAAGAGCAAAAATTAATAAAAAATTTTACTCGTATGCTGACAGTGGTAGATGAAGTATTTGAAAAAAGTTTTGAATTCAAGTATAATGTACAGTACAGTAGACCTTTGCCATTTGCGGGTTTGCGATTCACAATTTCAACAATTTGTGGTAAGCAAATGGTGGCTAGCTTGCGAACCTTTTCCCGCAGCGCAACGAGTCACCCCACGCACCCGCGGAGTCTCATCTCCCTCTGTTCGCGCTCAACCATTGCCTGTGACGCAGCATCTCATGTTGTACTCTCAAAACTTTGGTGTTTATGTGAAATGGCCTCTAAAAGACTGCCTAGGGTCAGTGCTAGTGTTGCTAGTGGAGTGAAATGTAAAAGGCAGAAGTCAGTGATTACCTTGAAAAAGAAAGTTGAATTATTAGATAAGTTAAAAGAGGGGACTAGTGCTGCCATGGTTGGTCGGTTGTTTGGTATGTATAGGTATACAGTAATGCGCTAAGGTAGTATAAGTTGCTATTTGCCTATTTGTGCCATTCTTTGGAACCTAACCCCCACGAATAACAAGGGTTTACTGTACAGTATTCTTACTAAGGGAAACACTTGCTAAAGTAAATGTAGAAATACTGTACTGTAATTGAGGCATGTGGGCTTCTCCCATAAACAGGGTTACAACCCCCCATTAGTGTCTTCCCAGTGAGTAGAACTCCCATACAAAAAGTAGTTCCAGCATCTTAATAAGGTTGAATAATCTCTTATATAATTTTTTTTTATTTATTTATTTTTTTTTTATTATTTATTGGGCACTCCCCTACATCCTTGTGTAAGGTGAAGCGCAGAAGCGTTTACAGAGCCCAACAGGGAAGCATGCTAAGTTCATGCTTGCCTTTTTTATATCGCTTTCCTGAAAGTTATGAGTTTTGTTTCCTTTTTAAAATTGTAACCTGAATTCTCTTGGCCACAGTATGGTAACATATGTAAAATTGGTTGTGTCACGTTTGGTAATGCATCATTTGTAATTTTGAATATCAAAATACAATAATGTTCAAAAAAATATAAATATTTTCCCCCCAGTTGTGACTTGACTAAATTACGGTAGGTAAAGCGAGGTTGGCTGATTATGTTTTATCCAGAAATATGGCAGCTAAAAACTATCTACAGTAGTTTTATGTTATATGAAATTATACTGTACATGTCTTATGGTGCTGACACCCTTCAACCTACAGGGATGATGGATTTTAAGTTATGGTTTGTTGTTCATTATCAAATACTGTACAGCACTTACTGTAGCTACTGTAACAGATCTATAGACCTAACTTAACCTACAGAAATCACATCAAACTCAGTCAGTTATCCAGAGATTTTGTATACACTTGACATGATGAATGGTGCTTAAGGGGTATCTTTCCAAAAGTGCCGCACAAATATCCACTGACTATAAAGTATGACCCTTTATCCCCATTACTGTTAAGATTCAGTAGAGGATAACCACAGAACTCTATTATGTTTTGATTTGTATATAGGGAGACACAGCAAAAATATACTGTATATACTGTAGTACAGTGGGTCGGGTTCTGTTCCTGAGGATGTTCATAAATCGGATTTGTACGTAAGTCAGAACACATGATGTATGCATACCATACTTACAAAACAATGCTTAAAATCCCACTATATCATAGTCTAAGTTTTTATATACAGTATACAGTAGTCTGGTTTTACGCGGATATTTTTTATGCGGAAGGCCATTCATGCGGCAAGGTGCTGGGAGCGGACGTCACCGCTGACGTCGCAGACTGTGATTGGGCCACGTATCCTTACCACCCACGCACCCCCTCCGCCGCGCGCTGTGATTGGTCTAGTTATCCTTGCCACCCCCGCCACCCACGCTCTCCATCGCCGCGTCAGTCTCACTGTCCCCGCGTATATTCACTCGTGCCCAGGAACCGGTTTTGTTTTTTCTTTCTATACAATGGCTTCCGCTGGACCTCCCCACCCACGAGAAGCCCTGAACTACCTGGCCCAAGCCGCCCCAAGTCCAAGACGGTGCGACGTGCCTTAAGCTATGAGGTAAAGTACAAGATCGTCCAGGAGTTAGAAAAAGGCACGAGACAGGTGGACCTGGCCAGACAATATGGACGAGATGTTGGAAAATGATGACATCAGTGAGCAGCGAGGTGGAACAGAACAACAAGAGCAGAAACTAACACCTGCTGATGTGAAGGATGTCATCGAGTTAGCTGAGAAAATGAAGCTCATGCTTGCCAAAGACCCAGTCAATCATTGCTACGAAGTGTCTAATAACCTTCTGTTGTAATCCCTGGAGCCCTATGTTCAGCTGTATCACGACCACATCAATGCTAGATGTCAATAAAACCACCGAGTTCTTCACCCGCCAACCACCACAGCCAGCCCAAGTCAGTGATAGTGAGGATGTGGACTTTGAGGGGTTTGACGAGGAGGCCCTTCTAGCCTATGTGTAGAATAGAGAGACAGGTGAGGGCCAATAATCTACCCTCTGCCTTGGAACCAACCCCCCATCCCCGTGTGCCCAGCCATCTCTTCTACTAACGTAAGTGTTATAAATATTATTGATATTTCTCTTATATATTAATTGTGTGTGCATACCATCATAAAATTAAGATGTTATTTTTACTACAATGTACGTATTGTGTCGGAGATAGCCAAAAAAACGGGTAGTCTGGCGGTCGGCCCAGTCTCTATTTCAATTAAACCCATAGGTTCTGTTATTTTATTTACACGTTTCGCTTTATACACGGACCTCCATGGGCTTAATTAACCGTGTAAAACCAGACTATACTGTACATCTAAAATCATTTAATTTAAGACAAAAGAAGAAATAGAATGACAACATACAGTAATGAAAGTAAAAAGTAAGTCATCAGGTAAATAAAATACTGTAAATTTCAAGTTTAACCCCGTTCGTATCGGCGGGCATTCATAAGTTTGGGACCTCCTGTATACTACAGTATTAGGGTGTGTCATACGGAGGCGAATTTTTTTTTTTGAGTTTGAAAAATCGGCCCATGGTATTAATGATGTAGTTCTATGTGCAGAATCATGTGATATCTTCAGATTTGAAAAGTTTTCATTTTTTGCTTGGTAAATTTTAACTTGAAATCTTATGAAAATTCAGTATTCCCACCCTTTTACCAACACCACTAAATAGCTTATTTAAAGTAAAGTAAATGTATCAGGTTAATTTATGAGGATGAAAATGATCCAGAATAGTGAAACGAATGATCTTGACACATTTATTAAATTTAATATTCCTTTAGAAAACAAAATCATCAAATACAAAAACCGGTTTTACTACTACGACCCGGTGTTGCTGCACACCATAGAGAACATGTCTTTCTTGCTTCTGTTTTACTCATCACCTCCCTGCTGACCACCTGAGCTCGGATGTAGCCTTCCCTCCTCTCCTGGCTGTACACGTGACTGCTGGCCTCGCTCACTTGCTGTACACAACGCTCTATACTCTGGGTGTGCGAGGGCCAGGCAGGTACATGCATGGGGTTGTCCAGGAAAGCTCTGACTTGAACATTGGTGAGGCTGCAAGAGGGGCTCACTGCCAGCCTGGATGTTATCCAGATCTATGAGATCAGTGAGGGTCTTGGCACCTAGATTGACTTCAGGAGTCTTCCTGACCCTGAAGGAATCTCACCAACTGATTCGTCATGCCCAGATCCTCTCATAAGTCTCATATCCAAGATCTTTTTGACTGCCACTCTTCTCTCCTCCTCATCCTTACTGCAGAGCATTGTCTGCAGAACTCCCTCGGGATGAGCATACCAGGAAGATCTCCTCACAGTCTGCTCCACAATCTGAACAACCTTCCTTGGCTGACTCCTCAGGAGCTCAAGCTGAAAGAGAACATGCCTCGGACCTTCGGAGAACGATGACTTGACCTTGGTGTTGAACCAATTTGGCAAATAGACACTCACGATGAATTGGACAATAAGTCTCAGGTTGTGAAGCTGGTCCCCCTTTCAGTTTATGATGAGCGACTCAAATTCTGCAGAACCTGAGAGCAGTTGTGAGCCACCTAGAATGTGAGACTGGACCTATCTGCAGGTAAGCAAGTCTATCAGGCATGACCCCAGTTTTGATGGCACTGCAAATCATGTAACCATAGTACTGGTCAGTACTCAGGTCGTCAATGACAGTATGTGCAAGCTCAACGAGTGGAGGGCCAACAGTGATTTTTTCAAAGCTCGGATTTATTTCTAACTCAGTGGCAGAGTCCAGCATCTGTTTGAAAGAGTCTTGCCATCCAGCTCCTGGATCAGATGTCTGAGTGGCAACTCGTTGGTGTGGAGGTCACAAACAATCCAGACCAGCTTCCTCCCAATCTTCCGCTCTATCCACTGTATGACCCCCCCTTGCCACCCTGTGTTCGTGTTGGTGCTGTCCCCTCCAATGGCCTGCAGGGTCTGGTCTACGTTCCTCTCTGAGCCAGTTCACAATGTTATCTGCCACTATCTCAGCTGGTTTCCTGATGCTGGTTTCCTGATGTCATCTTTCTCTGAGTGAAATGCCACAAATACTTCCCTCCTGGTTCACTGCAGCAGGAGTAGTGTTCCTCCTTCACCATGGCAGGGAACAACTTGTCAGAATCTCCAACTTTCATGAACACTTTAGTGTCATCCCTTCTCCCATCAAAGAACAAACAATTGATTCCATTTTCTCTTATCCCCTTATCAAACTCCTCTTCTAGGTTACTGACAAGTTTCTCCTGAGCTCTCCTTACTTTGTTATGATCTATCACCAGGTGAACATCATCAGGTGTTATCAAACCACCGTCAACCCAGGCAGCTGTTGCTATCTCTGCAGTTTCTCTGAGACCAGTGTGGTGTCGCATGCTGGCCAGAGCTATGCTCGGGATATCTTTCCTATTTCGAATCTTATGCCTGGAAGGTTTGGGATCATTATTTTCTGGGTTAGGGACAAAGTCACCATTCTCCTGGTCAGCACTCGGATCAGCCATGGGGAAGTCATTAAACTCTGAATCAGCTTGACTCCAATCATCGGCCTTTTTTACCTCACCCTGGGCCTTCTCAAGTCTCTTTTCCTCGGCAACTCTTCTCCTCTTCTGTCTCTCTGTGGCAGCCTCCTGTCTCTTGGACTCCGGAATATCTTGGCTAGAAATCATGAGAGCCCCTATACTGCCATTCTTCTCTCTCTGTGCTTTGACAAATGCCAGTTCGATCACAGGAATCTTCAGTTCACGCTTGCAAATACAGGAGATGTGGGCCTCGGATTTACAGTCACGATCGCATCCAAACTCAGGACAGAGAACAATTGGGCACTTGCAAGTAATTATGTCAAATAACTGGTCCAATTGCTTGGCAAAGCTGTCCTTAACTGCAAGTTTTCCTCTCCCAAGAGAGATATCTCTTGCCTTTTCCCAACTGGCTAGCAGTCTCTCACTAATCTTCTTCTAACTTGTTATGACTGGAGGCTTGAACTGAGCGTTAGCCAGAGTGTACTGTGCCAAGACAGCTTTGGTCATATCATTGGCAATGTCTTTGTTTGTGTAAGTTCTTTGGTTCTTTTCACTGATTTGCCTGATTAAAACACCGTATCTCAAAGCATCTCTCAATGTAGGCAACTCCGACTTCAGGAGCTCTCTCCCAGACCCAAGATAGTGACTGAGATGGCTGGATTTTTGGTTCCTCGTCCTGACACAAGCAGCCATCGCAAATATTATCAACTTATAAATGCATCAGAATCTGAAACAGAAAAAATATTGTTAGTTGGGTTGTTAAAGAATGAAGTCAGAAAGCAATGTTCACTATTTAATTGTAATGCACTAATGCAGCTGTACGTTAGATTTTCGATAAATTTCACGCTAAAATTTACCTAGCAAAAGGTTGCAAAATATTGAAACTGAAATTATTTTCTGTTTATATACACTAAAATCTACCAAAAAAGTGATGGGCCATTAGTTTTAGCTGATCTTCCCTCCTATGTACAGTATATAGGATGATAGAAAAAGAATAATAATACTTTAGTATTACAGTTTTGTTGCAAATTTATAATTTCCCAAGTTATTTAGATTTTTTTTTTCACTGAAGAAAGTACAATCAGCCAATCAGTAGAAGTCACAGTGTCATGGTATATTTCTGAGCATGCTCAAGAGTTGGAATTTGTCAGTCGTAAGATGACCTCTCGTGCAAAGGGTGATATTTCTCAGAATTGCAAACCCATTTGACATTTTCAAGGCTGATTCATGTTCTGCAAACTTCCAAAGTGTGGTGCAGACTGCCATCATCGTGAAGATAAACATGTTGGATTTTTCACAAAATGATACAAAATCGACAGGACAGAGGTGAGGGTAGGCCACATTTCGTTAGGTTTGGTCTGGTCTTTTTTTGTCATGTTTTTACCCCACAATTTTACTTTTACCCATCCACCTTATATGTCTAAAGGCCCTCTACTTCAAAGTCCTGCCCACTGTGTGTGATCAAAATAAATTGTACTTACAGTAAGTGAGATCTTAAGTGAAATCGAAAAATCAAAATACAATACTAACTGGAGAAATATATATATATGTAACAAAAACATTATTGAGTAAAGTATTCGGTAAAGGTGGAAAGACCAAAAATAACTTATGGAATTGAACCAAAATTTCTGGAGATAAGATTTGCATGATACTGAACACAAAAATGGAAATGAGAATGCACAGAACCTATTAGAACCTGATCTAACCTACCTAACCTGTATATTGTTGTTTTGATTTTCTCACTATCATCTAAACATCATCTCCAGAAAAAAATTAACGAATTCAATCTAATATAAATCATAATAAACACACCCGATGAGATCGTCATTCATTTCTTGACGTGTAAAAAAAGACCGTAGATGCTCTTGCATAGCAGACATGAACCAAAACATGGTCTCCACAGGAGATCCGACGACAACGTAGTTATTGTAGGGTAACTATTTTCCTTCTTTGCCTAAGAAGGATGTAGAGACTTGAAATTACTGCAATATAATTAGTGTTCACAGTGTTTTTACCCCGTTAATTCCCTCTTCTTACATGCGCTGCCCGCTAACAAGTAATTTATGATCATAGGATAGGCTAAAAAGAAAAAAATACTACAATGTCACTTCAATTTTATTTCCATAAAGTCCTTCTGGTGCTAATGGTCTTCTCTACCTTTACCAAGTACTGTACTGTTAATTTTTGTTCTATCACCTTATATACAATTCATTATAGAGTTCCATGTTGGTCCCCTAATGAATCTTTACCCCTCTCACTCTTAAAGGGGACTTTTCTGCTTTCGGAATTGTCTATCTTGATTTAATATCAAGTGCTTATTTACAGTATCGTGGGTCCGACTAATTACCCAAATGTACCCAAATGTAGCCGCAATGAAGTCAAATAATGGTCCTACATGAATAAATCGGATTGTCAATCACTTCTCGACTAGTATTTGGTGTCACAAAGTAAAAAAAAAATTGGAAAACGTAATTTAATTTGAGTTAATAGATCACGTGCATGTACCGAGGGAGCGAGTAATTGCCCAAATGTAGCCGCAATGAAGTCAAATAATGGTCCTACATGAATAAATGGGATTGCCAATCACTTCTCAACTGGTATTTGGTGTCACGAAGTCACAAAAAATTGGTAAACTTAATTTAATCTGAGTTAATAGATCGAGTGCATGTACCTAACCTAACCTAACCTAACACAACTCAGATTAAATTAAGTTTACTAATTTTTTGTGACTTTATAACACCAAATAATAATCGAGAAGTGATTCACAGCCCGATTTACGCTTGTACGATCATCATTTGACTTCATTGGGGCTACATTTGGGTACATTTGGGTAATTACTCGCTCCCTCGGTACATGCACGCGATCTATTAACTCAGATTAAAGTAAGTTTTCCAATTTTTTGTGACTTTGACACCAAATACTAGTCGAGAAGTGATTAGCAGTCCGATTTATTCATGTAGGACCATTATTTGACTTCATTGCGGCTACATTTGGGTACATTTGGGTAATTAGTCGGACCGCAGTATCGTAGCTAATGAATTCACAAATTTCACTCCAAAAGTGTATTACTTGGTGCTCCTTCACAACATATGGTCTCCATTTCTTTGAAGTATCGACCAGAGAAAGGTATAACTTCAGAAAAGAACATATTAAATTCAAATGTTACCATGTAAAGCTGGATAAAAGTCACGACAGGTGAATCCACAGGTATTTACCCAACAATAGGAGGCTTAAACCTGACCTCAATTATTTATGGGTTTCATCAAACAGACACATTTACAAAAATTCTCACAGAATTCTCATGCTATTGTATAGTGAATTACCTTAAAAGCGTTTATAATAAGCTGCTACACTTGTCCTTTCTCTTCTTGTGACTTGTATCTACAATGCCCCAGTTTATATTCAAAACGTAGCCTCGGAAGGTCCGCCACGTACCAAACGCTACATAAATAATTACTGTTTCTAAGGTCATGGGAATCTTACCTGGTCGGTCTATTATGTGTCATAAGGTAATGAAGCACAACAAACCAGGTGACAAATCCTATCATCTGCTTGCCACTAGGACTAGTCTGTCTGTCATCTGCAGAACAAAAACACTACCTGGTAACAGTGTTGCCAGATATTTGTGACCAAAAGTAGCGGATCTCAATGAAAAGTAGCCCAATATATATATATATATATATATATATATATATATATATATATATATATATATATATATATATATATATATATATATATATATATAGAGAGAGAGAGAGAGAGAGAGAGAGAGAGAGAGAGGAGAGAAATATGAAGATAGATATAGATATACTACCTGTAAAGGTATAAACAGACAATTTATAGCTTTAACTCACCACTTATTTGCTGCTCTTTTTCTTTGTATCTTGTTCCTTTTTGTTCTAATTAAAAGAGCTTTCTTCTTGTCTCTTGTTTCAGTTAAATTAACATAACTTTTCTTCTTGTTACTTGTTTTAATTAAATTAACACAACTGTTCTTCTTGTTAGTTGTTTTAAATTAAATTAACATAACTTTTCTTCTTTTTAATCTTACTTAAATTAACACAACTATAAATCTTTTGTAAAAACACACATCACTTTTAGGCAGATTGAAATTTCAAATTTATAGATCTACACTGTTCAGTAGGTCTTCCTCTTCTGCATCTACTTCCTCTTCTCTATAGATTGATGAGTCATTTTTCAGCGTGGAAAATTGGAGGATCAAATGACAACAGCAAGTTCCATTTAGTTCAAGGCTTGTTTTATTCTTAATATTGATGTTAAGAACTCAGCCCCATTCTGTTCCTCAAATTAGTTTTAACTGATGTAACTCTCGAAAATACCCGTTCAACTAAGGCGTTACATATTGGCTAGCTGTAAACTTTTAGTGCAAATTCTGCAAGCTCTTTTAACACAAGCTCTCCCGCAGCATTTTTACTGTGATTGCTTTCGTCCAAAATAGTGATCCAGTAGTTGGTATATTTCCTTAAAAATTGTGATCCCAATCAATAGTTAAGGTTTTACTTTTACTTTTATCTTCTTCACCACTCATCGGCTCGTAAGCCGCTTGGGCGATCGGTCACGTCTCTGTTACTTTTCTTTTTTCTTTTGTCCTCTTCACCAAATTATCGGCTCGTTAGCCGTTTGGGCGATCGGTCAAGTCTCTGTTACGCACTGTTGGCAAGTACTGGGCATGCACCGGTCCCTGAATGTACATGAACCCGCTCCAGTGTTGGTCAAGTCTGGTCTTGAAAGAGCTCACGCTAGGTGCCGTCACAACACTTCCTGGTAGATTGTTCCAAGAGTTCACAAATCTCACTCCGAAAAAGTTTACCCTCACAGTTTTCTGGACTTGCCGCTTCTTCAATTTTGAGCTGTGACCCCTTGTGGGGCGAGCGTCCGCCAGCTCCACGTAAGGACACTCGACTGAGTAGTGCCCCTTGAGATGCTTATACACCTTGCCCGCCTGTAGTATAAGCTAGGCAAGATCAGGCGCTCCAACCTCTCAGGGTAGCTGAGGTGCCGAAGTGCAGGCACCAGTCTGGTGGCCCTTTGAACATTTTCAACCAACTGACAGTTCCTAGCATATCTCGGGGACCAGACGGGGTGGCTTTTCTCTAGATGGGGAAGCACTTCACTCTTGAAAATCGTTACGAGGGACGGATCGTCTAGATATCTGAACGACCTTCTTATAAGACCCAATAATTTATTTGTCTGATTTACCTTCTCGCAATGGCCCGAGAACTTCAGCTCATTGTCAACATACACACCTAGGTCCTTCTCACATTCAGCCTCAAATAGTGCAGTTTCTTCATCCCGTTGGGACATATGATACGCCTCCTTACCGTTGGTACGCCCCAGGTGCACTCTCTTACACTTCGTGACATTAAATCTCAGCAGCCATTTCTTCGACCATTCTTGGAGCCCACAGAGGTCCTTCTGCAGCTCTTCACAGTCCGCTTGGTTCTTGATTTCCCGAAATAACTTGGCGTTTTGACGCCACTAACTCTCAATTTCAGTTATCTTAGGCTCATCAGCAAGTTTACGTGGGAGCTCTGAGAATGGAAGACGTAATTGACTTAGACAAATATTTAGTAGGAAACACCCCAAAAGGGTAGCCCAATCCGCTCCTTTTCGCCCAATCTGGTAACATTGATACCGCCAACCTTTGACGTCGTACGATATTTTTCTGAAATTGTTTAACTTCATTCTGGGTTATGCATTGTCATACAATAATGTTTATTGATAAAACGGTATTTATCTGCTTTTGAACGAAATATTAATGATCACGTAATACTCACGCGTATACCGATGACAAAAATTACTTATGTGCGTTGTGGTCGTGTTCTGTAGAGGAAATTTGTATGGTTTACAGGTTTGTTTTCGTACAGTTTATTGGAAAAAATCTTTAAACGGTGTGTTGCACAACGTTCAAATGAGGATACCCAAATGTCTTTGAAAAAAAAGTAAATATTTATATAGTAGCATCATCACAGCATATGATGAGCGCATGTCTGGCCACCAGCCACGTCAGTGCTCTAAGCTTAGCCAACTTTTCTCGCTTGGGGTTGCCTCCCCGTAAACTGCGGGGAAATGGCGTAGACTGTGTTAACCTTTATGTTTTTATTTATATTTCATCATCGTCATCATCATCATCATCATCATCATCATCATCATCATCATCATCATCATCGTCATCAAAAGCCTGTAGTTATCCACTTCTTGATGAAGGTTTGATTCTTCACAATGTTGTCTTCTGTCGTAAACCTACAGGTCCATATAGGGAACTGCCTCCAATTTTTTTCTTTTATCAATCAATCCATTTGTCAATTGATACTTTTTTATGAATGACACACACACATGCATATATATATATATATATATATATATATATATATATATATATATATATATATATATATATATATATATATATATATATATATATATATATATATATATATATATATAATGTGCGTTTACGTTTCTTACTCTTCAGTACAGAGCCGTAGCTTTAGCAGCGTCATGCCATTGTCCTACATTGATATTATCCTTTCATATATTATAAAGACGTGAAATCGTAGAAGAAGAACTCGTCTTATTACGCCTCAGGTAGGTAGGTAGTAAGCAGCTATCAAACAGGGAGGTACTGTAGTGGATACCCTCCCCTACAACTGCCGACTGATCATCTGCCGTTCGCTTACCAGCCAATCAGCTTAGAGCTTTTTCCACGTTTAGAAGTTTAGAAGCTCCAAAAGTTGTTGGTAGCCTAGCGGGCTTACAGCCAGCGACGTCGACAAACTAAGGCGCAGGTACGGACGGAGGAGTACTATCGCCGACTGAGTCTTGAGCTTCCACGTCTCAGCCAGGATCAGTGCTCCCGTCCTCTCTCGCGTACTGATCCCGAGCAGCCGTATAAATATGCGTAGGCGTACGCTCTCCTACCCGCGACCCCCGCCTGAACCGCCAACCCGACGCCCCGAACCACGACAGGCTCCGCACAGAGAAAGCGGACCAGCTGCTGGCCTTCCACGAAGCCCTGAAAAGCAAGAACAATAGGGGGCAGGGAAAAAACACTTTTATTTGAGTTGCAGGCTGCACTTTTCAGGCATCGTTTGTATGGCTGTAACAAACACCTGTGCAAAATTTCATGCCATTTCATGCATACTTACCCTGCCGCATCGCGAACGACTTTTTGTCAACTTTTAGTGTATACCAAAAATTAGGTGTCATTTAATGTTTTCCAGGATAATGATAAATTTTACATGGGTGACATCGATTTAATTCACATGTTATTTTACAGGTACACCTTATAGAAAATCATTACAAGTTCATATTGAAATTCTTTTTTGTGCGGAACCTTGGCATCATTTTCCTAGACAATATTCTTTGCCTAATATATCCATCTCTCGATTCGTATCCCGTCACTTCAGTGCAAGCTTCAGTCATCACTTTTATGCCTCTCTCGACCGCCTGAGTGCTGTTTGGCCACTTGGGCACCACTAATGGTGTCTCAAGAATGTCTCAAGAATGTCATTAACCCTGAGAGAAGTAATGTAAGGAGGCTCAGTCTTGAGTTCATTCCTCCAGTTAATCATGGAATGATAGTTTTTTGCTTGCCACTTTAGTTTCGGAGTCACCACCTTTCTCATGTTGACTACAGGAGGCACATCCTCATTCCCATCTCCATCTTTACCCTCCTCATCAGTATAGTTTAACAAATTCTCGTCAACAGCAGCATCAGAATCTTCCTCCTCCTCTTCAGATCTGCCAGTGCATTCTTCCTTTTGCTGATTCTCCTCTCTAATTTTTCTTATCATTGAGACAGCTTTTTCTCTAACAGTCATGTCCTCATCTGCACACATACCAAGAAGAAGTTGATCTGTGTGGGCGAAGTATGCATTTCTCTGGACAGCCTTCTTCACTATCGTCTCCTCCTCACTATTCAGGTGTTTCATATATAGCAGGGACTGGAATACGTTCCTTGAGCCGTGTGTTACGTAAGGGTGTATCTTGATGTAAAACCACATTGGAGCACTGAACTTTATTATTGTAATGACAATTCTTTTCAACTCATGGCTGGGTCTTGATGTTGCTACATACAGCCTGAGGATTCTACTCCATAAGGTGTTCCACCTTGACACACAGGGAGGACCTGGCTCAATAGCAGCCAAGTCATCTTCAACAACACCTGTGATAACTCCTTTACAAATCCTATACAGGTATTTCTGATCCCCAGACAGAAATCACTGACTGACTGGAACTCAGACAAAGACTCCTTGATCTGCTTTCCAATGGGACCACGCCAATGCTCAGGACCACTTGGTTTACCATCATAGTGATAAAAAACTGCGCGGAAAGGCAGCTCATTTCCGTGAAGCTGACATATGAAATAATGGAGCGGGTGACCAAGTAACATTTCAAGATGATGAATGACTCCATTTTCTGATCCTACATTTACATTGGTTCCATCACAACCAACACACACAATGGGCTGCTGGGTTAGATTTTTCTCCACCAGAAACTCGTGAATAGTTTTGGCACTCTGCTTTCCGTGTCCAGTCTTGGGAGTCACATGTGTGAGATATTCATT